AGCCTTTAGTCGGTCCTCACACCTCACTACACATATAAGAACTCACAGTGGTGAGAGGCCTTATGAATGTAAGGAATGTGGAAAAGCCTTTAGTCACTCCTCAAACCTCAGCGAACATATAAGAACTCACAGTGGAGCGAGGCCTTAAAAGTGCGTGAAAGCCTTTAGTCAGTCTTCAGTGCTTACCAAACAGAAATAACCTCACAGTGGGAGAGACTTAATGAATGTAAGGAATGTGGGAAAGCATTTAGTTATTCTTCATCCCTCACTGAATACATAGGAAATCACCCTGGAGAGAAGCATTTTGAATATATGGAATGTGGGACATTCTTTTATGAATCCTCAAACTTCACTAATCACATAAAAACCCACAGTGGAGAGAGGTTTTATAAATGCAAGGAATTTGTCCATATAAAAAAATTAATATAATGAAAAAACCAACAGTTAATTGCAGACACTCACTTCACCTTTTAATCTAAGCATGTACTTCGTATAAATAAGGCCAATTTCCTACCCTAAAACCCAGATCTTCATTGTCTCGCACAACAAATGAAATTTTATCCAGTTGTCTATAAAGTACCTGTTATAGCTGTTGGATTTTTTTGAAGCTAGGATTCAAACAAGATTTCCACATTGCCTTTTTGTTTTTAGATCTGTTTAGTCTACCTTAGAACATTTTACTGCTTGTCTTGTAAAATGTTAAAATGTTTAGCATTCTGATACCATCAAACCTGTGACAGCCAGAACCTCTGAAAGTCAGAAACCTGTCAAAAAGGAAAACTTACTGGGTGTTTATGAAATAGGATTCTTAATAGAGAGCAAGAGAAAAGTGGTAAGCACCCTCTCAAAGGTGGAAAACGTGAGACCTGGTAAAAAAAAGGAAGTCCCATCAAGTTCCAGCTTTCACAGGTTTCACTGTATTTGCTTTATTATGATTTTGTTTCATTAGTTTTCTGTATTTTTTAGGTGTTGAGTACAGCACACTTGTAATATACATGTAATAATACAAGTCAAAGATGTAATTTAAAATATTTTAGTAGCCATATTACACAATTAAAAATGTAATGTGAAATTTTTAAAGAAAAATCTTTTTTAACCAAATATATCCAGTTAGTCAATGTAAAAATTGTAAATGAAATTAACAACTAAAGTAATCAGTATAAACTTATTTATGGGACATTTTACATTTCCTTCTTTTGTACGCAGTCTTCCAGAATCCAGAAGCAGTGCATTTTATGAATTTTATTGTTGGCAAAGTAAATTCACAATCCCAGATTACTTGAAATATGCTTTTCCAATAATTGAATCAAGTTTATTGTTACATTTATTGATTAAAATTAGAGTTAATTCAGTTTCTTAGTTGTACTAGCCACATAGGTTGTTGACATAACCCTATTGGTGTTTGAATGCAAAAGAAGTCCCTGGATCACTTCGTACTTTCCTGTTCCAGATCTGGAATCAACCCTTTCTCCCCAAACTTCTGATTACCTTTGAAAATCAAGATCTGTACAATGGGCTCAGTGATAAACCAAAACTGGTTGCCATTGAGTCAGTTTTGTCTCAGTCTTTTAGTGAACATCTAAAACACATTTTCTTATATCATAAGTTCGTACTCCTATTCCCAATACAAATTTAAGATTATAAGTGTTTTTTTTTTTTTTTTAAATATAACAGAAATGATGCCAGACAATGTTAAATAGGCAAACGACTTTATTCAGGCTATTGTATTAGGAGAGAGACCTCAGCATAAGTCAGAGTTGAAAGAGTGAGGTGAGGCAAGGGATTTTTTATGAGTTTGAGTCACATGAGGCACTGGAAACTTACTAAGAGGAAGTTGACACGCAAAAATAGGGTAGAAGGATGGGTTTTAGATAAGAATTCTAATGGTTTTCAGAAATATTTGCTCAAGGCTTGTTTATTAGGCTGACTCAAGGAACATTCATGGGATAAATGTTGTAACTGGGCAAATCTTGTCACTTTCTGTTATTTTGTATTTGTATCTCTTTTCTCTTTTAATAAAAATCTTGATTCCTTGGTTCCTAGTAACATTCAAATAGTTTCAATATGATGATACTAATAGTACTACTAACTAAAAATCTATTCCATAAAGTACTTTTTTTCATCTTTTTGTACTTATTTACATTAAGGATATTAACATAGGATTACTGAGTACGAACTTTCTTTTGCATAGTTATGTGATCAGTTTGATATCGTTCACTGCCATCAAGTTGGCTCCAGCTCATGTGATCTTATGTATGTTGTGTGCCATGGAGTCGATTCCAATTCCTAGCAACCCCATGTGACAGAATTGCCCCATAGGCTTTTCTTGGTTATAATCTTTACGGAAGCAGATTGCCAGGCCTTTGTCCAGTGGAACTGCTGAGTGGGTTTTAACTGTCAACCTTTTGGTTAGTAGCCAGGTGGTCAACCATTGTGCCACCAGGGCTCCTTGACCTCATGCATAACAGAAGAAAATGTTTCCCAGTCCTGCACCATCTTCATGATCACTGGTGTGTTTGAGTAGTGCCTTGCAACCCAGGGGGCCCATGTTTCAGCACTATATCAGACAGTGTTCTGTTGTGATCCATAAGGTTTTCATTCACTAATTTTCTAAACTAGATTGCCAAGCCTTTCTTCCTAGGTGGTTGTAGTCTGTAAGTTCCAATGATACCTGTCCGCCATGGGTGACCCTGCTGGTGTTTGAAATACTGGTGTCATAGCTTCCTGCATCAGCAACATGCCAGCCACCACAGTACAATAAACACAGACGGGCAGTGGCAGTTTGATATGTTATTAGATTTACTTGTTTCTGTTTACATTTAATTTTAAAGTTTGCTTTAATTTTGAATTATTCCTTTAACGTATAAAACTTTCACATAATTTGAAACTAAAAACTGTATGAAAAGGTGTGTTCAGAAGGCTAACTTCCTTCTATACTACCTGTGCTCTGTTTGTATCACCGCAAGTTATTAACACCTTAAGATAAATTTCTGTCTCTTTCTGTGTATATATATTTACATATGCTATAATAAGGTTGTGTGTCAACTGGGCCATGACTCTGTTTTGGCACTTGTATAATGTGATCACTTTTCTGTTGAGATCTGGTATGTGATCACCTCCATGATGGGATCTTCTGTGCGTAACCAGTCAGTTGAAAGGGAGTTTCCTTGGGTGTGCAGCCTGCATCTGAATATAAGTGGATGTTCTGGCTTTTGCCTGTTCTGGATCCTGCAGCTGGTGCCTGTTTGTCTGACCTCCAGTTCTTGGAACTTGTGCTAGCAGCTTACCTGAGGTCCTGCTTGCCAATCTTGAGATTTCATTGATCTTCACAGCTGTGAGCAAGAGCCCTGCTCTCTGACCTGCCATTCTTGAGTTTGCCAGCCCCTCCAGCTATGTGAATCAGGAGAAGCCTTGCGGTCTTGCCTGCCAATCTTGGGATTTGTCGATCTTCACAGCCTGTGAGCAAGAGCCCTACTCTCTGACCTGCCAATCTTGGGTTCGCCAGCCCTTGCAGTCACGTGAATCAGGAGAAACTTTGCAGTCTTACCTGCTGATCTTGGGATTTGTCAATCTTCACAGTCTGTGAGCAAGAGCCCTGCTCCCCGACCTGCTGATCTTGGGTTTGCCAGTTCCTGTGCCTGTGTGAATCAGGAGAAGCCTTTATCCTGATCCACGGATGGGACGTTCCAGCCTCTACAACCAAGTGAGCCATTTCCTTGATATAAATCTCTATGCAGGTATATATGCTTTACTGGTCTTGCTTTTCTAGACAACCCAGCCTGAAACATTTGGTACCAAGAGTGGTTCTGGGGAAAGAAGATTTTAAGGATGAGTTTTCTAAACTGGTTTTCAAGTCTGGTTAGTCTTAAAAAGATGTTGATTCTTTCAGTAGTAAAGAGGGCACTGCTAATCCATAGCTTGAGGTGACAATACAAATACCCAAAATATCACCACCAGTAGATCAGGTATTGGTGAAAGGCGAGGTTCTGGGTGATTGTACGTGTGATACCTTTCTAGAATTTTGTCAGAATGAGAAGTAAAAGGAAGCTGATTGGTTGATCCTACTTTCATCAGACAAACTGGTGACAGAAAAAGATGCACTCAGGGCCTTAGTGTCAGAGCTCAAGTGCCACATAAACAACCTAAAAGTTTCCACTTGTGCTTTGAAAAAAAGCCTTATATCTTGTAATAACAGAGCTGATACTGCCAAAAACCAAACCCAGATTCTTATTGTAAGAGTGGCTGAATTACAATAGCAACTCAACTGCCAACCTCGAGAGGTGTCTGAAGTTAAAGTGAGGTCATTGGGAAGAAATGGGATTCTGAAATATGGGATGAGGACATATGGACAGATAAATAAGGATGGTGGAGACACTGAGCCCTTAAATTCTGTTGACTCACTCCTACCAACAAAACCAGCCCTGTCACTCCCATCTGAAGAGATTACTCCATGTTTGCCTGCTAAACCACCCTGCCCATTAGCCCCTCCACTTCCATCTAATGAGATTAGCCCAGCTGCCTCTAAAGAGCCCTTGTCTGAGTCATTGCCTGGGGCATCACCTGAGGCAAATGCTTTGCAAGACAATGAATGGTCTCAAAACACTTCCCCACTACCAATTTTGGCTTCTAGACCTATAACTGAAGTCCCAGTGAGCCCCAAAAGGTGAAGTACAAAGGATGACCAAGGAGGAGGTAGCTACACTCCAAAAGAACTCCTTGACTTTTCTAATATGTACAAACAGAAACCTGGGGAATATGTGTGGGAATGGCTATTAAGGGTGTGGGATAATGGTGCAAGGAACATAAAGATGGATCATTCTGAGTTTATTGATATGGGTCCACTAAGCACAGGTTCTTCATTCAGTGTTTGAGCTCGAGAAGTTAGGAAGGGATCTAATAGTTTATTTGGTTGGGTTGCTGAAGCATGCATTATGTGGTGGCCTACACTAAATGAAGTATCAGACCTGCCTTGGTATACTGTAGAAGAAGGTATCCAAAGGCTTAGGGAAATTGGCTGGCTAGAGTGGATTTATCAGGTTAGACCCACAGGTCCACATAGAGTGCCCAGAGGGCACACCTTTTACCAGAACCACGAGGAAGAAATTCGTGAAGGGAGCCCCAGCATCTTTAAACACTGCTGTGATTGCTATTTACATAAGTCAGATTTGACAGTGGGAACTGCCCTAACTGAATTAAGACATTTAACTACAGTAGGGTTGATTGGACCCCATGGTAGTAGGGGCCAAGTGGCAGCACTTAATTGAAAAAAAAAAAAGGTGGGCTTGGCTACCGTATTGGACAGCAGAGTCAAATCAGTGATCAGAATAGTCTGACTCATATGGACTTAAGTGGCGTTCCAAGTAGATGAATTCTAGGTCAAGTGAACAGCAGTCTAACTTGAATTGCCAGAATAGAGTCACGGCCCCTGTAAAGACCCACACGCCCTTGATTGAAGGGTAGGCCAGGTCCCCTTGAGGAAGGACTCCAATACACTGCCAAAAACTTACACTGTTAATCTTTCTCCCAGCCTTCCCCAAAGGGATCTATGGCCTTTTATGAGAGTGACTGTTTACTGGGGAAAAGGAAATAATCATACTTTTTGGGGATTACTGGCTGCTGGCTCTGAACTGACATTAATTCCAGGAGACCCAAAATGTCACTGTGGCCCACCAGAGTGGGGGCATACTGAGGTCAGATTACTAATGGAATCTTAGCCCATGTCTGTCTCACAGTAGGTCTAGTGGCTCCCTGAACCCATCCTGTAGTGATTTCTCCAGTTTGGTCAGAATGCATACTTGCAATATATATACCCAGCAACTGGCAGAACCCCCACGTTGGATCCCTGACAAATGGAGTAAGGGCTGTTATGGTAGGAAAAGCCAAGTGGAAGTCATTAGAACTGCCCCTACTTAGGAAAATAGTAAACCAGAAGCAATACCACATTTCTAGAGGGATTGCAGAGATTACTGCCAC